ATACTACTACTACGATGTTATTGTTGTTGTTGGCCGTGGAAAAGTGAGCATTGCACCTTGCCAAGCTTGCCACTGCTTACCATCGAGGTTATACTTTCTACTTATTGAGTACATGGGGTTGGTTGTACTCATACTACACTCTATGTTTCATGTGTAGATCCAGGTGTTGTTGATCGTAGTAGTTTCTTGTAAAGGATCCAGATTAGCTTGGAGATTTCGAGGTAGCACAGTTGTTCCGCTTGTAGACCTTGAAGTCCCCTCTTTTATCTTATGTTCTTACTGTTCAGTCTTCCAGACAATATTGTATTTTGTTCAAACTTTATATTTAGTACTCTATACAGCTCATGCACTCGATGACACCATGTTTTAGGGTGGATTAGACTTCATTTATTTTTACCATTCTACTACTTGAGATTTATTTCATATTATTGTTAAAGTTTATTTCCGCATATTTGTTGTTGGCTTGCCTAGCAAGTAGTGTTAGGCGCTATCACGGCTCCGGTGAGATTTTGGATCGTAACAATTATGATCCATGAATTAAATGGCAAAGCACATGTTCATGCGACTTAATTAAATCACTTGAAAATATAATAAAGTATCTCGAATATGTACACGTACGCGTGACATAATTTTGACACGCAAACTCGACAAGGACAACATGTGACTTGTTTGAGATAATTACCATAATTTTTTTAATCAAGCGATACAAGGCGATATAGGCGAAACATGATTCCTTAAGACATAAAATATCTAGAACTAGTTTAAGCCAAGTTTAAGTTGATTAAGCGACCCTGCAGAACTACGGAATTCGAAAAATACCTTACACTTTCTTCATGGTCAACATAATTTCTTACCCTGTCTTATGTGTTCACGGACCATAGAAAGGAGTCAAAAAATTTCTTGATTATAGATAAATAATTGGTAACTTGGAACACTAAAAACGCTCAATTCCAAGTGGCAACTCAAAAAATAATAAAACATTCCCTATTCAAATAATGTCAATTCAATTAGAAACACTTTTTTTCTCCATAAAAAGGAGGTATGGCAAAAGTCATTCATCACGAATCCAGCAATGACAGATGTCGACACATATCAATATTTACTTTTGAAATTTTGAACATTGTAAGTATGCTTGTTATTGTACTTGCTAATATAGAACATATCCTTTCGACGTACTTCACTACGCGCAACTTTCACTTGCAATTCTAAATCTCACATGCTACCACATATAATGATTTACTATTTTTTTTAAATAGAAGCTAAAGGCCTTCTTCACGACAACTACCTTCAACGTCCCAACTAATTCCTGCTTGTTCTCAAATATGTTTTTGAGGAAAAATCAGTTGCGTATTTATAAATTTGGCTCCCTTGTGTTCCAGGAGCAACATTATTTGCAACAACGCTATGATGCTGGCACATCGTCACCTATTGAAATATCTATATTCATTGTATATTCTTCATTATGATCTAATCCATGAATATTATAATCATCCAATTCTTCATTATTACTTATCTCTCCAAAAACTAATGATTGTGGTGGTGGTGGTAGTGAAACTTGTTGAGACCTATCAATCACATTTATCCTTATAATAGGCCTAACACCATCATTAGCAATATCAAGAAAATACAGTTTCACATGCTTATTTTTTATGAAAGAAGGAGCTACTTTCACCTTATTGGCATAGAGGTAATCATATAGCTAAATGAAATATTATTAGGTTCATCTTTTAACTGACCATATTCAATTAGTCTCTCGACTAACTCGTTAAAGGAACCGCTCTGAGGCACAACAACAAGTAATGCCGACGTCGACTTAGACTGTCATTTCTACTATTTTACGGTCTCTGCCCACTCACTCATACAATCACCATCTACTACGATACTGTCCACCATATTCGGCAAATAAAATCAATATAATAAACCAAGAATGGTCAATGACCAGCAATCAAATTTTCAAATATCTAAGCAATGATATAGATCTTTTTACCACGTACCTTATGATATATTAAAAAATATATCTCTTACAATAAATGACCAACACAATATACTCACATACGGCTGATTAAATAAAAAAAATTTAATCTTCCTCTTGGAATGCAAAAATAAAAAAAAAATACAATGATACAAGTGAGCTAAAACAAGAATGGAGATAGAGGAAGCTTGGGAGCTGAGATTTGCTAGGTATGGAGCAAAATCAATGCTAGCTCAATTATCGAATTTGACTAGAAGTACTTGTAGGGCACGCTGGAAGCGAGTTATTTATCGAGGGAATTGATTTGATTTCCTTATAGTTTTGGCAAAATATACTTATTTATATTTTAGGCCAAATTATATTTTTTAAGACTTTGGGAGTAGGGTAGAATACACCTTTTCACTTTATTAATCCTAATTCTCCCTAACCTTAGAAACGGGTTACCTTGCAAACAATAATAACTTGAGGGTTAGTCCACCAATTGAGTTTGTAAAAAGGGCCGATTATACTAAGCTCCATTAAAAATTGGTACGGTTTGTTAGTTAATAGCATGTTAGACCAAGCTTCTAAAATCATCTTATTTTGGAAAGTTTTCTCAAAAGTGCTTTTCAAACATGTACTTTTGGTGAGAAACAATTTGTGTTTGACTAATTAATTTGAAAAATCACTTTCGAGCATCAATTAGTGTTTGATCAAACTTTTAAAAATTACTTTTAAGTGTATTTTTCAAAAAAGTACTTTTAGGAACAAGTTACTTTTTTGTACTTCTCAAAAATTGTTTCTACTTTACTCAAAAGTATTTTTTTTCTTCTAAATATTTGGCCAAATATCTTAACTTTGGGGAAAAATACTTATGGCCAAAAAGAAGCTTGATCAAACGGACTATAACTACTCAAGATTAACCAGTTACAATTACTCGAAGTTTGAACTCATACAAATGAAACTCCATGGTATTTAGCTAGCGTTTGGACATAGATTTGATTGAAACTTGAAAGAAGAGTTTTTGAAGTTGTGTTTAAAATAATTTTTGAAAGTTGAAGTTGTGTTTGGACATGCATTTTATTTGAAGAAAAATTGAAGTTTTGAACTGTCCTAAACCAGTTTTATGGAACTTGAAAATTTTGAATCTTTTTCCCTAAAACATCATATTTCATAAATAAATAATATTTTAATTTTTTTTGTTAAAAAAATAAAGCCAAAATCTATGGAAAACGGGAGCTTAGAGGAAAGTGTTTGGTCATTCATTAGTCGAGTTTGAAGCGATTAAATGACAAAGGTAAAATGGCCTCCAGGCCACCTAAACTTATAGATGTTTGTCAACCCGGTAAATGAATTTTGAATTATTTTATTTTAACACCTCAACTTAACAATTTGCATATTAATAGATTTCTTTGATCATTGACTATGTTTATGTGGCAACCATATGTGTGATGTGGCAATACTGGGTGCAATTCACCTAATTTAGGTGTGTGGGTATAAATTAATTGAGTAAAAGAATTCTAAAATATAAAAATAAAATAGAAAATCCACCCCCACCCACTCTCCATTTTCTTCAAAACCTCTTAATTTAAGAACTGCTTACTCCTCGTCTTCTCAAAATCCCCACTCCCTCCCCCAACCAAATTTATTTAAAATCCACTTTAGAAATTACGATTTTCTTTACATTCCCAAATAATAATATCACTCACAACCATTTGTATCAAGAGCTTACTTTTTCTACAGAATGCAGGTAGTCTGACAACATAGATGGTCGAGTAAGAGACGTCAGGGATTGTGAAATTGAAGAAAGAAATCAAGGATTGGTCGGATCAGTACGACAAGCTTACCAAAAAAGCAGTCTAGTGATTTTTTTTACCACAAACGAAATAGATAAAGTATGGTTTCAAATCTTCCCAAGTCCACAAATCAATTCAGCAAGTTCGCTTGAGCCGAAAAAAGTTCAGATGGATGAATTCCAATTCACAAGGGTATGAAATCCCTCTTTGAAGGGAATATGATAACAAATTTGTTGTTTTGCTAAACGAAAAATAATAAGAGAAGCTTGTTACAATTTGCAAAAATTTCGATGATACAGGTAGCATGAACGGTGATACCAACCACTATGAAACTGAAGAAAAAAGGTGAAAAGGAAGAGAGTAAAAATAATTTAAAATTTTGACTTTGCTTATGTATTGATTTGATACTTTAGAGTAGAGAAGGATGATGTTTATGGAAGATTAATGGTACTGGTGGAAGAAGAAGAAGAAGAAGAAATAAGAAAAAAGGAGAATGATTTTAGAATTTTTGATAAATTGGTGAAAATAAGTTGGGACCCAATAATCATATATATCAAATACATAATAATAGACTAAGAATATGATAGGTCAGCCATGTCACACTGCTTCAGAGTTGAGAGACACGCTCAACGGAAGGTGTTTAGTATTTGCTTTTTTACCAAGTTGGAGTGTTCAAAAGGGAAAATTCTAAATTAATTTATCGGGTTGATAAACAGGTAAAGTGGCTGGGAGGTCATTTTGCCATGACAAATCATGCCACTACTTTAAGTGCCCGTTTGGACATAAATTTAATGGAAGATTTTTTCAAAAATTTTTTACTTTTTTTTCAAAATCAGCATTTGTTCATAAAATTTTCAATTTTCACTTGAAGATGCATTTTGAAAACTTGAAAAACTACAAAAGTTATTTTTCAAAAATTTTTTACTTTTTTTTCAAAATCAGCATTTGTTCATAAAATTTTCAATTTTCACTTGAAGATGCATTTTGAAAACTTGAAAAACTACAAAAGTTATTTTTCAAAAATTTTCACTCAAATCATCACAAAACTTTAAAAGCAACCCAAACTGAAATTTATGTCCAAACACAACTCTAATACTATTTTTACTTGAAAAAAATTTTCACCATTTTTTCTAATTTTACAATTCTTATGTCCAAACGCCTACTGAGTTTTTTTAACAAAACGGGTCATTAATAGGCGGATGGGTCGGTTATGTCCAAGTCTTATCCACGCGGCATTCATAGCATTAATTCCGCTGCAAGCTTCCCAACTTTAGCAAAACTAGGGTTTCCCCAAACAAATCATATGAAAAAGTGCGCAACAAGAAAACGCATATAATCTTAAGCTTTTAAAGAGTCCTTTGAAAGATTGAAAATTCTTAGGTTTTTCTTTGGGAGTTGGTGAGAAATCAATCAATTCGTGAAATTTGTGAAATTATGCCCCCGAAAGCAGTAAGAAAGACACCTACTGGATCTGGATCCAAAAGAGGTGGCCGTACAGCTCGTGGGATCCCAAAGTCTCAGGCAAAGACCGAATTGAAGGCGGAGGAGGTCGTTGAGGAAAAGCCCGAAGTGAAAACCGTGGAACCGGAGCCCAAGGAAAAAACCGTGGAACCGGAGCCCGAGGACCGGGCCGAAACTGAGATGGAGGCGAAATCTGTGGAGAATGGGGCGGTTTCGGAGAAGAGTAAGTATTTATTTTTGAAAATTGATGTTCTAAAGAATTTATTTGGATTATACTTAGTATAGTTGTGCTTGTTTTGCTGTGTTTTGTTCTATGCTTTTTGTTGGCAATTGGCATATTAATTCTAATAGTTTGGGTTCTTGTAGCTTAATAAAGATAGTGACAAAAAAATATGTCATTCAAAAAATAAAAGACTTTATGGATCTAGTTCGTTGTTAATGATTGGTGTGGAGTTTACTTCTGGTAAATCTGTGGAGAAAGGCGTGGTTTAGGAGAAGAGTAAGTCTGTAAGTATTTATTTTTGAATTGGTAGTCTAAGAATTTTGTTGAATTAATACTTTGTTTAGTTGTGCTTGTTTACTTGGATTTGTCTATGTTCATAACTGTTGGGGATTGACATGTCAATTGTAATAATTTGGGTACCCTTTGTTTGGATAAATAATTTGGGTTCTTCTTGTTTAACAAGAATAGTGAAAAAAGGAAAAAGCTTTATGGGTTTGGTTCGTAGCTAATGGTAGCAAAGTTTATTCTGGTGGACATAGCTGTGTAATAACATTATTGCAGGAGAAAATGGATTTAGTTAGGGGTGGGCATAGTTTGGGCAAACCCGAAATCCAAACCGAAATTCGAATATTTTGGATTTTTGGATTTTGGATTTAATTTTTAAAATTTTTTATTTTGAATTGGATATTAGATTTGGTACTTCGAATTTTTGGATATCCGAAAATCTGAAATTATTCATAGGCCAATAGTAATAAGTTCAATACCGTATCCATTAGATATTATCTCATATATTCAATATTAATTACTAAGTTATTGTGAGAATACTTTCTATTTGGACATGGTTTTACTATTTTTACTTCTTATCGGCCATATTAATGTATCTATTGTATTTTTTTATAATAATTTCATTACTCGAATACTTCATTTGGATGATTGTGGTGAGAATGAGGAACTTTTCAGGCAATTTAACATGAGTACTTCATTTGGATATTCATTTTTGTAAAAAGAATAAACATCTCAACTTATTAGCTCAAAATCGAAAATCCAAAATATCCAAACTGATTAATCCGAAAGCGAACTTAAAAAATCCGATCAAATCCGAACTTATTTAGATTGGATTTGGATTGTCTTTTCTTCAATCCGAAAATCGAAAATCCAAACTGAAAATTTCACATGCAATCCGAACTGCCCGAACGCCCAGCCCTAGATATAGTCTTATTTGTCTAAGCCTTGGTGAGTAGAGTTACCCTGTACCCGCACTGGTGGTAAGTAGGTATGTTGTGGATCTTGTGGAATAGTGGAGATGCGCACAAGCTAATACTGGACACCACCATCATAAAATACCCATGGTAGAAATCTTGCTTAGTGTGATCGGTTGGTCTAAAACAATAGGTATTTATGTATTAATCATCTCATTATGGGTAAAATAGGAAGTTTAAAGTTAAATTGTTGCTAAATATATAAAAGTATAATTCTTTTTGTGGGACAAACTAAAAAGGAAAGCGCATCACATAATCTGCTTGTTTTGCTGTGTTATGTTTATGTTTATAACATTTGGGGATTGGCTTGTCAATTGTAGTAATTTGGGTTCATCTAGCGTAATAGAATAATGATAAGAAAAATAAACTTTTTAAGGGGTCTGTTCGTTGTTAATGGTAGATGTGGAGTTTAGTTCTGGGGGATATAGCTATGTGCTAATATTATTGCAAGAGAGTGGATATTTTTTCACTTTCACCTATTTTAGATATTTTTTTGAGAAAAAAAATACCTATTATAGAAATCCTTTCTTACTGTGTTTATGCTTGAAACTGTTGATAATTGCTATGTAAACTGTAATAATCTAGGTTCTGGTAGGTTATTTTAGGAACTGTGTCAAAAAATGTTATGGGTCGAATAGAAATGAAAGAACTAAATATAAATATTATCTCAACAGAACGAGGATATGAGAGGATAGTGTTAATAATATCATGTTTGGTGAGGGGAAGCTGTGAGCACCACTTTAATCTTATGGCCTGCTAACTTTAGATTAATGAAGAAATATGTCTCTATGTGCGCTTTCAAGCTTCAATTAAACGAAAATTAAAGAAGCGAAGCATCCCCAAGAGATGGTCGAGGCATATGAGTTATGACCCTCAAAAAGCCTTGTGGATTAGTAAAGGTGCTCGCAAGCTGGTCTCAACACCATCTTTGCGGGGAAAAAAAGAGGAAAGAACGAAAAAAGGCGGGACTTTTGTTGGGAACTGGGGATGGATGAAAGCTCCCTTATTCTTCAATAAGGGAAGAAAGAAGAAGGAAGGATTACAGTTGCTTCCACATGGTCAGTTCTGCCAAATTTTGTTATTGTGATCTTTCTCTTGAGGAATTTCGTGCAGGTCTTTTTAAGTTTATGCAGAGGCATCTTTTGATGATCAGCTATGTCTCGATAGAGTTGGACATTGTTGACAGCTTACAGGATTGCAAGAAATTATGTTATACTTGGACTAAGAACCTTTTACATTCTCCATTGACTGGCCTGCGAAGCTAATTTCTTTTTTTCTCGTGGCAGAGGAGGATGATGTGAAAGAGTCAGTCGATCAATATGAAAAAGGTGAGCGATTAGATTTGGAGGATAATGACCCTGAATATGAACCTGAAGAGTATGGAACGGTTGATTATGACGAGGGAGAAATGGCACATGATGACATTCAGGAAGAGGGAGATGAAATAGAGGAAGAACCTGAAGAGGGAGATGTTGGTGAAGAGGAAGAGGGTGATGATGTTGAAGAGGAAGAGGGTGATATGGTTGGAGATGTTCACGAGGAAATTGAAGGTGATGAAGAAGATGATCATGCTGGGAAGGAGCATGTTGAGATGGTTGATGCAGCCGAGGAGGAAGAACATCATGAAGTTGTTAAAGAAAGACGTAAGCGAAAGGAATTTGAAATATTTGTTGGTGGCTTGGACAAGGATGCCACTGATGATGATCTCAGGAAGGTCTTCAGTAAAGTTGGTGAGGTTATCGAAGTGAGGCTTATGATGAATTCTCAGACAAAGAAGAATAAAGGATTTGCATTCCTGAGATTTGCCACTGTAGAACAAGCAAAACGAGCTTGTACTGAGCTGAAAAATCCAGTGGTATTTTCTTTATTCTGCAGTTTTCATGTCACTGATTTTAATTCCTCATCGAAGGTATTTTCCTGACAATGGAATTTCCAGGTTAATGGCAAACAATGTGGTGTTTCTCCGAGTCAAGACAATGATACTCTGTTTTTGGGTAACGTATGCAAGTCCTGGTCAAAAGAAGCTGTAAGTAGACTGGGCAGATTCATATTGTCACCAAACACGATTCGTAGTTTTTAAGAGCTGCTTAACTAGTCATTGATGTTTGCTTTCTCTCCAGTTAAAAGAGAAGCTGAAGCATTACGGTGTTGACAATATTGAGGATTTGACATTGGTCGAAGACACTAATAATGAAGGAATGAATCGGGGATTTGCTTTCTTGGAGTTCTCTGCACGTTCGGAGGCCATGGATGCTTTTAAGCGGTTACAGAAGAGAGATGTTATGTTTGGAGTTGATAGGCCTGCAAAGGTGTCTTTTGAGGATTCATTCATCGATCCTGGTGATGAAATCATGGCAGAGGTAAACTCTTTGGACCTATATCTATATTTTAATAAAAGGGACTACGGCACTGGTTAAGTATAGCTATGCTCTAATAGCCTCTTCTGTTGCAAAGAGAGAAGAACGAATAAGGACACTGCATGTATTTTAGTCTTTCCTTTCTACAATCAATTAAATTTATGGCAAGTGCTAGCTGTTCCAATTTTGTCTTCCCGTTAACTTTTAATCTGGGTAGTTCTGTTTTCTTCTTTTCCCATTAGTTTTCTTCTGATGAATTTGCTGCTTACATTTGAGTCAGTTGCTGTGCAGCTATTTGTTATCCGGTTGTGGGTGAATTATTTATTTTTGATGAACCTATATATGAATTTACTTTGTTTTTATGGTATTTATGTTATGTTATGGATTTTATGGTATTTTATGTTGTTCTATTATGACTCTATTGATAGTACTAATATAGTGTCTCTTGTCGCCTCTTTGAGCCGAGGGTCTCCTGGAAACAGCCTCTCTGCCCCTCGGGGTAGAGGTAAGGTCTGCGTACATATTACCCTCCCCAGACCCCACTTGTGGGATTTACACTGGGTTGTTGTTGTTGTTGTTGTTGTTGTTGATGATGAACCTATATATGAATCTGGGTGACCATCTCTTGAGTTCAGGTTAAAACAGTGTTTGTTGATGGTCTTTCGGCATCTTGGGACGAGGATCGCGTGCAGGAACTTCTTAAAGAATATGGGAAGATTGAAAAAGTTGAGCTTGCCAGAAATATGCCTTCAGCCAAGAGAAAGGACTTTGGATTTGTCACCTTTGACACCCATGATGCTGCAGTTACATGTGCTAAAAGCATTAATAACGAGGAATTGGGTGAAGGAGATAACAAGGTTCGTTTTATGTCTTTAAGTGACTAAGAATATGTGCAACTCCTGTGAGTATTTCTTATAGTTGTATATTTCAGGTTAAAGTTAGGGCCAGATTATCAAGACCCCTTCAGAGGGGCAGAGGAAAATATGGTGGAAGAGGAGATTTACGACCTAGGCATATGCCTCTGCGTAGTCTCCGTGCCCCTTGGGGTCGTACAGTTCCACATAGTCGCCCTATTCGAGGGACTAGAGTTAGTACACGTTTGCCTCCTGTAGTTGGTCGTGGTTTTAAACGACCCGCAACATTGAGGGATAGACGGGCAGTGATGGCTTTGCCTCCTAGGGGCAGACCCATGGCTCCACCACCTAGAAGGTCATATGAACGGAGACCACCTGGTATGAGATGATTTCCATATTTCATTAAGATCTGCTGGTTCAGCTCTGCTTATTTTTAAATGACTCATGACTAAATTGCAGTTCCCTCTTATTCAAAGAGTAGCTTGAAGAGGGAATATGGACGGCGCGAGGAAATCCCTCCTCCTAGAAACAGAGCACTAGCTGAGTATCCTTCGAGGGTTCATTCTGACAGACGTGCATCATATAGGGATGAATATTCTTCCCGCGGCTCTGGTTACCCTGAAATGCCTAGAGGTAGTCACTCTGCAGGAAGGAGAGCTTATGTTGATGATGGATATGGGCAACGGTTTGAAAGGCCTCCTCCATCTTACCGCGATGGACGTGGTCGTGAATATGACTCTATGTCTGGTTCAAAACGTCCATACAGTGCAGTGGTAAGTTATCTTAGCCATATACTCCAGTTAGATATTTACTTGATCTGCCCAAGAGATACAAACTAATTTAGTGTCTGTTACATGCCAGGATGATGTTCATCCCCGCTATGCTGAGGCAGGTGTGCGCCATTCTCGTGCTCGTTTGGATTATGAACTTGGCAGCGGGAGTGGTTCTCAATATGGAGATGCATATGGTGACAGGTGCCTTTAATTATAGTTAAGTGATTTCTTCCTCTTTTGCAAACGTTGGCACTATATTTACATGCCTGATGTACATATCAGTAGACTTGGGAGATCAAGTCTTGGATATGGTGGCAGCAGGAGCTCCCTTTCTAGTCAAGATTCTCATGGGATGTATAGTAGCAGTCGTCAGGGTATGAACTATGGTGGAGGTCTGTTCTTTTGTTTTTTGGGAAATCTGGTTATTTCATTTAACAGTTGTTATTACACGTCTGTTTAGAGAAATCTGTCTTAATTTTTATTTTGGTTTGCAGGCTCCTATGGTGGAAGTGATGGGGATGGAATGTATTCATCCAGCTATGGTGGTGATTACATGTCTCGTGGCAGTGATGTATGCTTCTACTTTGTTGAATTCTGTTGGAAGCTTTAGTGTTTATCTGATGATAACTGTTGTCCCTGTTCTTCTCTGATGAATCTTCAGGTTGGCTCCTCGCTTTATTCTAGTCGTAGTATGGGTGGCAGTGGTTATATGGGAAGTGGTGGGTCTGGTTCTTACTATTAAGGTATGTCTCTTTTTATTACAACCATCGTATTTTATTTGGCAGTCATGCTTTAGAGCTGAGTATCCCATACGAGCTTGTGATTCCCTCCCCCCCCCTCTTCCTGTGAAAATGAAGCTGGGAAGGGTTTTCTTATGTTTCTTCTCTGAAAGAGCTGTATTTCAAGATATGGAGCATTTGGTCACCCACCGACTTATTTATGGTACAGATTTGAGTTGACAAAAGAGCCTGCAGTTGGAAGTGTTAACTTTGAAGCCCTATGCATTGGCATTCCTCTGAGGGAGATGGAGTTTATCTGTTATCTATTGCTTCTTTGTATATGTACGGCTAGATAATTTAGCATTAGAGGTTGTATTGCTCCGAAGCATCTTGGATTCTAATTGGGAAAAGAAACATCTGTTCCTTTTATGATGTAAGGAAATTTGAGTTATGTAGAGCAAACAGAGATCTGTTTATTTCTGGTATATGAGCATGCAATAATTGCTATTGGTTTCTCCTTTTAAGAATTTGCTGGAAAAGTGGAGGAGGTATGCTGCATGATTATTTCAAAAGAAAATGATTCCTAAAAGCTCAAGTTACCTATTAGCCAGTCATGATTCTTAGGATATATTACAATGGAGGATCTGTGAGAGTTCTATTTGGAAGCTTTATATCCAGTTGTATTTGATATTATCATCACAAAGTTTATCACAGGTCTCAAAGATCACCAATAAAGAGCTTAATTTTGTAATCAACGTGTTGACTTCTGTACCGAGTTAATGGATTGACATGCATTCCAAATTATCTATTTGCTTCTGGATGATGAGTGATTAATGGTTTAATGAGGGAAAATGAATGTATTTTGATGGCTTGAGAAAGAAAGCATCCATGGATGTCATGGGCTGAAGTTACTCATCGCCTAATTTTATTCCCGAGAGGAGTGAAATTGGATTGCTATAAATGCACCAGAAATTGGTTTCAATGAGTCAAAATGAATGTATTTTGCTGCTGTGGTCTCAGGATTGGCAGATGATGAGTTCTTAGCATTGGATAGAAAATTATGATGTCTGGTTCTCAAGTCCTTGCAGCTTGTGAGCTGTTTCTGCAAGAAACGTCATTGGTCATTGCTTATGTGTAGCGTGATCCCTGATTGCTTTCTTTTGATCACGAATATCATCCTTTTGGGACTAGCTTCTTGGTGTTGTACAGTTTGTTTTGACAAACTTGGTTTATGTATTTCTGACAGCTTAAACTGCAGAGAAATTTGAGGAACTTGATAGTGCATAACTGTTGGTCTATCTTAGAAGTATACAAGGATGAACAATTAGAAGACTTGCATTGCTTGTGTTCTTCCATTATTTGGTGATGCACTCTAATATGAAAGCTTGCTTATGACGGAAAGTTGTCCTTGGAGTGATTGTGCTAATCTTGTGAGTTTCTGTGGTTGATCCTATACACTGATTTGTTAATGCAGTGGAGGTTGCACTATGAAGGTAGAGCAATTACATATAGTGAGGCATTTCATGTGCTGCTGTCAGTCTGGCAGTTTGCCCCAACTAGAATTATGACTCATAAGAAAGTAATTAACAGTGTCATATTTCCTATATGTGGCCCTTGCATAGTCTTAGTCTGTGATTGCCTTTAATATGCATGCTATACATGATGGTGGATAGATACTTGGATAACAGTGGGGCAGCTTGTGCGCACCTCGGCTATTCCCACCGTATCTGCTACCTCTACTAGAACAGTTGATGGGTAACTCTGCCCACCGAGACTTAGGCAGATGTGAAGCCTAGTGTTTTGTCTCTGCAGGGGTTTCTACTATGATCTTCTTGGCTTGCACCTACTTCATTGACCATTAGGTCACATACTTGGGTGCTCTAATAGTAAGGCTGGTAACTGTTTATTCTCTTCTGTATTCTCCTCCCTGCATTAACGGCTGCATTGTTCTCATGTACTAAGCTTAGTTGTTGTTAGCCTATTTTCATTGGAAAACACATACATAAAGTTGCTGGTCTAATTTTCCCCTATAGAAGGAAAAAGGGCCCCAAGATTTTAACTTACTAATATTAGTGGAAGTCAAGATTTTGAGGTAGCCTTCACTTATAAAAGTTACAGTGTGATCTGACCATTGTGTTAGAGTTTGATGTTGGCACTTGCAGACAGGCTCGAGCTGGGATGCGGAATATTTTTTGTTTGTGTTTTCATGTTATTTCATAGATAGTTTTAAATTCCTGTAAATTATTTGCATCTTTCTTGATTAAAAAAATTCCTGTAAATTCTCTTCTGGGTGATATAGCTTGATGTTGCACTGGCTCTGATGTACTTGAATCTTATCAGTATGTTTGTTCTTTTCCTAGTTGACTGGCTTTAATGGGGGATCGTTATACAGAATCTAGTTAACTTTGTGATGATACAAAAGTTGTGGGTAGTTATTGCATCGTCAATTTCTTTTCAAACTAGCATCAATACACGCAATGCACCCATTTAGAAGTCTACTATTGAAAACTAATAGTAGAAGAGATATTTGCACCCCAATACGTAAAAATCTACTAATAAGTAATACATGACTCCACTCTGCCTCCAATGGTGTTGTCTCCTAGGGTGTCACACTCTTTCTATTTTAGACACTTAAAAAAAAGAATAGCACCTTACTATATTTAAAAATAATTGGATTTCATCATTTTGTGTTATTCTTAATGACTATTTTATTAGTTACAGAAATGTTATGATACATTTGAGTTTTTTAAGTTTTAAAGGTTTTTATTTTTTCTTATATTCTGTTTTCAGTTAAACACGTTACATAAAATGAAACAGAGGGATTAGATGATATATTAAGTCCACTTGCCAAACTTTAGACATTCTTGCTAAGTCGGAGAAACCCCAATTAAATGTACCAGCAAGAACTTCCTTCTGAGGAGGTATTTGCTACATATCCCGTTTTGATTTTGGTTTTGCTTTTGCTTTTGACTTGGCACACAAAATGCAAGTTCTTTGTTCAAAATTTTCCTTGATTTTCTTTGATCGGAAATATGAAGCACGAGAAAACTTATAGCAAACAAAGAAAGCATACTGTTTATCTGATCATAGGAAAAAAATCAAAAAATATTAGCACCCAAGGATCAAGGGTGTGACCTAGTGATAGATGAGACGAGTGGTTGTGAATTTTGAAAATCAAGTTTCATTCTAGTTAAATCCTAGTATAGACAAGATATTCAGTAATTTTCTCATCTATCTAAGTTTTAAGGGGTATAATTACTCGGTATCGGTATTAGGCGAAGATATTGATTATAACTAGTTAATTAAAACGGAAAAGGGTCATATATGCCAGTGAACTATGCGAATTAGGATAGATATGCCCGTCGTTAATAGTTTGACACAAATACGCTCAATCCGTCCAATACTTGTTCATTCATGCCCTTAGTTTAACGAATCACTATTTTGTCTTTCTTAAATAATTAATAACCAGACCCGACCAAACAGAGGGATTAGATGATATATTAAGTCCACTTGCCAAACTTTAGACATTCTTGCTAAGTCGGAGAGACCCCAATTAAATGTACCAGCAAGAACTTCCTTCTGAGGAGGTATTTGCTACATATCCCGTTTTGCTTTTGGTTTTGGTTTTGCTTTTGCTTTTGACTTGGCACACAAAATGCAAGTTCTTTGTTCAAAATTTTCCTTGATTTTCTTTGATCGGAAATATGAAGCACGAGAAAACTTATAGCAAACAAAGAATGCAAACTGTTTATCTATCATAGGAAAAAAATCAAAAAATATTAGCACCCAAGGATCAAGGGTGTGACGTAGTGATAGATGAGACGAGTGGTTGTGAATTTTGAAAATCAAGTTTCATTCTAGTTAAATCCTAGTATAGACAAAAGATATTCAGTAATTTTCTCATCTATCTAAGTTTTAAGGGGTATAACTACTCGGTATCGATGTTAGGCGAAGATATTGATTATAACTAGTTAATTAAAACGGAAAAGGGTCATATATGCCAGTGAACTATGCGAATTAGGATAGATATGTCCGTCGTTAATAGTTTGACACAAATACGCTCAATCCGTCCAATACTTGCTCATTCATGCCCTTAGTTTAACGAAATCACTATTTTATCTTTCTTAAATAATTAATAATCGGACCCGACCAAAATCTGCTGACCCGATCCGTTAGGACCCGACCCACCCTTATTTCAAAGATATTTTTTGATATATTATTTTTGTTTGATTTAGAAATTATGTGATAATCATATTTATTTATTTGAGTAATTTGATAGTCGATTTTTTTAATTGTTATACATCATTTCGGGAAGTAATCCTACTAAAAGTAGTAATTGATATTTATTTATTATTTTAATAATATAATATTCAAATTAGTTTGTGCTTTCTTCAATCATTTTACAATCTATTTTTATTTTTCTCAGTGGTGCTTGTTATGAAATAATATTTGTTATGAAATAATTGATTAATAAAAATGGAAAAGAAGCGCCACTGTTTTAACATTGCTGCTTGTTATGAAATAATTAATTAATAAAAATGAAAAAGTTTTAACAATTTATTACTTATTTCATAACAAATTTGTAATGCAGAAAATAATTCAATAAACTAATAATCAATCATATAATGATCACTAATCTAAACAGGTTAAGTTATAGTGAACATGGGGTTATTTGTATTTGTATTGGTTAAAAATACAAATAGATACTGAGAAAAATAAAAATAGATGGTAAAATGATTGAACAAAGCACAAACTAATTCGAATATTATATTATTAAAATAATAAATAAATATCAATTACTACTTTTAGTAGGATTACTTCCCGAAATGATGTATAACAAAAAAAATCAATTATCAAATTACTCAAATAAATAAATATGATTATCACACAATTTCTCAATCAAACAAAAATAATACATCAAAAAATATCTTTGAAATAGGGGTGGGTCGGGTCCTAATGGATAGGGTCAACATATTTTGGTTGGGTCCGGTTATTAATTATTTAAGAAAGACAAAATAGTGGTTCCGTCAAAATAAGGGCATGAATGAGCAAGTATTGGACGGATTGGGCATATCTATGCCAAACTATTAATGACGGGCATATTTGTCCTAATTCACATAATTCACTGACATATATGGCCCTTTTCCGTAATTAAAATGTGTGCAAGATAATCCGATCGCCACAATTATTAGAAAGAAAAGGAAGGGCAGATGCCATGCTATGATTTAGAACATGCAGGAAACTCGCCTACAATATATGAATAAAACCTTGTCTTACCCTTTGCTTGGTTGGAAATTGAGGAAGGAAAGGAAGAGAAAATAGAACGAGAGAAATAAAGAAGAGAAAGAGATAAAAGAGATTTTGCTTTCCTTTTCGATTATTGGAAGAAAAAAGAAGAAGAAGAGGGACTCTCCACATCTATTTTCTTCCAATCTTTTCCTTACAAACTGAAGAGGGGAAAATAATCCTCTTTTCCTTTGTCTTTACTCGGTTTTCAAGGTGTAAATTATAACTGCGGTCATATTTGAAATTCCTTACTTTGATTTAGCAATTTAGCCAGGGTAATCAAATATCGAAGGATATATTTGTTATATAAATATATTGAAAATAAAGGAATGGAGTAAATTCAAGTAAGATAATCTAATAAGAAATCTGAAACAAATAGACAAGGCGTTTCCAGGAAACTATCTTTAGGATAGTAATTTCCCCAACACGGTGCAAATGGTTAAAGGAAAATCTATCCCCAAGATACAATGCCTACTTTAGAAATCAAAGTTGCACTCTTTGATTTCCCAACCACAAGAACTCAACCCAAAAGAATGAAGGATTTGGAAGAAAGTAATTTAACGAAGATTTAATGTATATAAACAGATCTTATGATAGACAGAGAGAGATGTTGTATATATAATTGCTTAGAAGTTATTTAGAATCCTGTAGAATACCCTTTATATAGACAATGTTTATGACCTTTGCCAATGGGTGCTTCATTTAAATTTAAACTAGCAGTTAACAAAGAGTTAGTTACTCAAAAAAACACATCAGTTAGTTTCACAGAAGGCAACGATTGTATTCAAATTTAAGATAGAATTCTTTTTCCTGTTTTTTTTAAAAATAAATATTATTAATAAATAATACATATATATTATTTTATATATAACAGTCCCCCACTTATTATTTAATAATAATATGTGGACACAAAACAAAGGAAGGATGATATTGAGTATTTGTATAACACATAACTAAAGGTAGCTAACTAGCTTTGAACCTTTAGAATGAATATGAATATAAATCCATATTCGTATCATACATGAGTTCTTGTTTTGCAATGACGGCGCCGATTAATATGGGCCTTGCGCGCAATTCTGTTTTAGCAAGTACTCTAGGATTCACTATTAAATCCATAAAAAGCGGCCTCTCACTTTTATAATTGCATAGGCAGTCTCATCAAAAGTGTCCACAACCGCTCTAACACTCCTCTTTAATCTATGAAACTGTTAAGAACAAAGTTCAGCCTTCTTACTGTGGAAATCAGTCCATATAGTCAAACATGGAACTTTAAAGGAATAACAATTTATTTGTATTAATCACCCCCACTATTCCTTGAGTATATTTATGCACCGGAAATATAACCTCGGCGTAAATATTTCGTGGATAATTCTTGAGAACTTATTCTTGAACACTTAGAATATGAATTTCCAGTTAAAACTGACATTCATATGAAAGAGTAGACGTCATTCGAGATTACCTTTATTAAAATGGAGATAGCCCCATGTTTCCCATGACTTTCTCAATTTTCTCACCTGATAAAGGTTTTGTGAGAGGATCTGCCCACATCTGATTAGTTGGAAGATATTCAACAGAAATTTTACCTTTCTTCACAAGACTTCTCACATGATTGTATCTCATGGCAATATGCTTGCTATTGCCAGACATCCTCTCATTCTTTGTATTGTGAATTGCAGCTTGGTTATCACAATATAAAGTAATATAAAGTAATTCACATAATTTACTGACATATATGGCCCTTTTCCGTAATTAAAATGTGTGCAAGATAATCCGAATGCCACAATTATTAGAAAGAAAAGGGAGGGCAGATGCCATGCTATGATTTAAAACATGCAGGAAACTCGCCTACAATATATGAATAAAACCTTGTCTTACCCTTTGCTTGGTTGGAAATTGAGGAAGGAAAGGAAGAGAAAATAGAACGAGATAAATAAAGAAGAGAAAGAGATAAAAGAGATTTTGCTTTCCTTTTCGATTATTGGAAGAAAAAAAAAGAAGAAGAGGGACTCTCCACATCTATTTTCTTCCAATCTTTTCCT